CTGCAGAGCCTCTGCATTACATAAGACTATAGGTGGAAGCCTGAACCACATCCAGATCTTCAGAGATGGGAAAATTCCACTTGAAAGGATGAGCAGACCAGCCTGGAGTGCCTAGAAGAACAGAAGATACTTGTTGAAACAAAGACCTACAGGAAAAATACAAAACAATATAGGCAGACCGACTGTTACAAGAACAAGCAAGTTGCTTGCCCAGGAGACATCAAGGCAAGTGGTCGGGTCCCCTCAGTGTAATCCCTCTTCCAAGACTAAGACTCAATGGGAATACACAGTTCTGATTGGTAACCACGCTCGTCACTGATAAGGGGAAGTGAGGGAAAAACAGGAATGAAGCTGCAAGCTAAGCCCTACAATGTTCAGTAGACTCCTGTGAACCCTGGTGGAGAACTGGCTGGCCAGCAGTGTGGCAAGACCTGGGAACTCTTGGGCCCAGAGTCAGTGACATAGCCACAGAGGACTAGAGTGGAGAGTGAAGCGTCCAGCTGATAAGAAGAGAAGGCATATGCACAAGAACACCCACCCTTGCAGATAATACCCACTTGAGCTGGCTTCAATGACTGGGTGATCAGAGCTCAACCAGAAGAAGAAAAGAGGTAAAAAGAGTAATCTGATACAATTTGATGAACTTAACGTATACCTATGGATGCAGTAGCTCAAAAGAAGGAACAAACCTTTACAGCAAGGATCATTCGCAACCCCTCCATACACAGAGTAGACAGGGTTGGGCAACTTGGACATTGGCTTCCCAAAATGGGGCGGCTACAAAGGCAAGAGGTGACTGGCTTACAAGATTTCAAGAGGGAACCTAGATTCAGAGGGCGTGAAGGAAGGTAGAATCTCCACTGAGTAGTATCCAATCTGTCTAGGCGGGGCTGATGAAATAAAATGCAGATAGGTCTCTTGTGATACAATAGTGCATAATTGTTATCAGGACTGCTTGTGAGGGTTGGAAATGTAAAGGGGAGTGATTAACTTTTCAGTCTAGGAGCAGAGGTCCCTGAGACCATGAAGGGAGACGAGTGGAGAGCAGAACCCTACCCAGAGAAGCAGTGATGCCTGAGATGGAGGCAGAGACAATGACGTGGAGATATGGAGCAGTTTGGGACTTTAGAAACAGAAACAGAGAGGGAGAGGGGCTGTGTGCTGACGACTGGGGTGGGGGGGGAGGAGGCTTGCAGTATATACCCTTTGGTTGGTTGATGATGCATGGAGGGGATTGTAACCATGGCAATGAAATGATACACGATGGGATAAATGTAAAACCAATGTTCTCCTATGTAAACTATCACATAATTCACAGTAAAACATTAAGAAAAAGAATTACAAAAGAGTTTTCTTCGATCTTCTTGCAGCTCACCTCCAAACTTGGTGACTCGATCTAAGAGAGTCACATACAAAGCCATCTTTTGAGTGGTTTGAGCAGGTGGAGTTGTTAACTACAAACCGTTCCATTTTGGCTTGGAATAAGAATCGGGTTAGTTTCTAGTTCTTTCATCTGGGTACTTTCACTCGATAGTGAAGGGTCTCATACGCAAAACCAACCAGAAGGGCATCAAACCCTGACACTTTCCATTTGTTCAAACCCGGAGATGATGCTGCATCAGTTTTTCAACAAGTGGTGGTTGGAAAACAGTTTCTGGGCTTGCACCCTATTTTCCCTGCGCTACCGGAAAGTTGGAGTCCTGCTGTGGTGCTGTGGGTTAATGCACCAGACTGCAAAGCCATTTGATCTGCAAGGTCAGTAGTTCAAGCTCACCAGCTGCTCCTTGGAAACCCTATACAGGGTTGCTATGGGTCGGAACCGCCTCGACGGCACTCAACAACAACAACAACCGGAAAGTTATGCCTTTATGTAGGATCGGACTGCCACTAGGGGAAGTGGATGAGACACAGCTATAAAAGAAAGAAGTAGGAAGATGATGAGCATTCAGGGATGAGGGAGCAGAATGAATAGTAGTTGTATTTGCCACTACTGCTGCCGCCGTTTTCCAATTCATTCCAGCTTCGGCCGCTGTGTCCCCCACTGCGCCCCATCCTCCAGCACCGCCTCCAGGCTAACTTCTTTTACTAGTTAAACTAATCTTATTTGATTTTAAGAAGACTTCAGGGGATATTTTATGTTTTAAGGTTTAAAAATTGTCTCATGGAAATAGTTTCAGGGGTTTATGGATCCACGAAATCTGGATTCCATGAGAATTTGATAATCTGTTTATATGTTCCCTCTTTAGAATTTGACAGTAATTTTTATAGGATTCTGGTATCTAGTTGTGTGGGCCTTCTAGATATGGGTAATATGACCACATGAGTAGGCATTACCACAACAAGACAATCTACAAATTCTTCCACCATTGCTGTTTATATTGGTGAATTGTTGCTAAGTCCCCTCGAGTCAATTCCCACTCATAGCGACGCTGTGTAGGGTGTCCGAGGAGTGGCTGGTGAACTTGAATAACCAACCTTGTGGCTCAAACTGACCTTGCGGTCCTGTGCATTATTAACCCACAGCGCTATACCAGGACTGCAATGGTTACTAGTAGCACAGAAGTGGAAGGAATATATGCTCCTTCCAGTAATATCAGGAACAAACAGATGAGAAATATACCTTGGCCCTAACTTGCAGTAAACTTGTAGGTATGATCAAGTCAGAGGGTGTGGTTGTGACACAATAAAGTAGTACTTTAGTCAGGGTATGCCTTGGTAACCTGTTTACTAATGATATGATTTGTGGGCTTGTCAGGTTATTGAAGATCTTTGTGAATTGTAAAAGGGAAGGTGATGGAAACATCTTAGGAAATTCATTCTCAGTTCTTTAATAACCACGGGTCTTGAATGTAAGTGAAAGGGTTATGTATGGCTAATTGACTTTTACTTTAGTGCCAACTCTGAATATTTTGTAGTATTGTTTGAAACTGGACTCCTGGTGTGATATTGCAGGATCAGCAGTGGATTGGGAACCGCAAGGTCGGCAGATCAAACCTCACAGCTGCTCCTTGGAAACATACAGGGTCTCTATGAGTCAGAACTGAGTCAGTAGCACTTAACAGTAACATTACTTGAAACATTTTTGAGAAGTATTCTGAGACTATATCTGGGCTTAGCTGACCACAAAGACTGGAGAAGAAGATATTATCAGTATCTGTTGTGGAATGGATAGCAGGAGCTATGCAACATGTCTTTTTACCTCTATTTGCTTGTGTGTAATTTTGACTCCTGATGTGATGCTGTGGGTTAATGTGCTGAACTTCAAGGTCGGTTTGAATCGCAAGGTTGACAGTTCAAGCTCACCAGCTGCTCCTGGGAAAACCCTATACAAGGTTCCTATGAGTCAGAACCGACTCAGTGGCACTTAACAGCAGCAACAACATTAGACTGCAGTTGGAGAAAGATGAGGCTGTCTGTTCTCATGAAGGTTTACAGTCTCAGAAAGCATATATAGGGTCCATATGAATTAGAATTGAGTTGATGGCAGTAGGTTTCATCTTTGCTTATTAGAATGTAAACTCCAAGAGAGCATTAAGTTCACATACTTGTCATTTAGCTCACACTGTGCTAGACTCATCATTGGTACTTAAGAATTTGCTGAATGAATGAATGAATGAATGAACTCAGACCATCATGAATGGAATAATTAAAGATTTCCAGAGTGGGGGCAGGGATAAATTTGGCACCCGTTCTCTTACACACAGTGTTGTAGAAATCTACTGGGTGAGCATCTGCAAGGTGTGGTGTTGGTTGGTGTATATGGAATACCAAAAGAATGTAGTTCACATGCCATACACCAAGAGGTATTTTGGGTAGAAAGAATAGGCAAACATGTTTGTAATGAGTAGTAGATCTTATATGATAAAACCTTTTAGAAGAAAGTACTAAAAGAACTAGTTTGGTCCCCAGAATGGATGGCTTGGATGTGAGTACCAAAAGTTCAGTGTTTTAGAATCCCAACTTCTATTCTGTTTTGCTTGTAGAAGTCTTCTTTTAACTGTTTTTACATGGTAATATTATCTTTCCATCACCTTTTCCTCTCAATTTTGGTGTCACTAGGAATGAAATATTTTGACTCGTTAAGGAGTTTTCCTTCAATTTAAATGCCAAGATGAAAATGAGCCATTAATAGAAAATAAATGCCAAGTAGATGTTTTTGAAAAGGAAATTTTTATTCAATCACAGTGTCTAGAAATCAGCATGTCTGAATTATCAAAAACCTTTGTATTGTAATATTAGTACATTTTGAAAATCTTTATGCTAATAATTGAAAAATACACACTTTTCAATTAGCATAGAGATTTTTAAAATCTACTAATTGCAGAAAGATATGATATATATCTTTTACGTATGCATTCAGTTGAATACCTGAAGTGTATGCTCTGGATTTCAATTCTCAAGGCAGGCATTTCTTACCTTGGCACTGTGAGTTAATATGCTGGAATACAAAGTCAGTTTGAACCTCAAGGTCAGTAGTTCAAGTTCACCAGCGACTCCTTGGAAACCTTATACAATGTTGCTATGGGTTGAAACTAACTTGATGGCACTTAACAACAACAACAACAACTGGATCATCAGTTACTTGGTTTTGATTTCCTTAAATCTAAAAAGGGAATGATAATGATTCTCATAAAACTCTTAAGTAAAATTTTTCAGATTAACTTCTCAGACCAGTGTTTGGCCCATAATTGTTACTGTCATTGAGTTGGTTCCAATTCATAGTGACCCTGTATAGGGTTTCCAAGGAGTAGCTGGTGAGTTTGAACCATCAACCATGTGATTCAAACCATCCTTTCAGACAGTCCAGTGCTTTATCCCACAGTGCTGTAACAGGACTCCCATAGTAAATGCCCAATTATTGTTGGCTACATTGTTATTGGTATAGCTACTATTATTGTGTTTTTATCAAATTTTTTTTGAGATGACAACTTCATGTTACTATTTTAATAAAACTATAAACAGCGACAGTTAATAGTTTTTATGTTTTTGCTTTCACATAGGTTGAATGTAATTTTTACAAAATTTGATGAAGTTCAAAAATCTGGAAACATGATACAATCAGCAAATGGTAAGTAGAGAGAGCATTACTTCTGTTTTGGCTCTTTCAGTTGTCACCAGTGCTTATACCGTTGTTGAACAGCTGAATGAGATGTTTTTATTGTAACTTTCTAAGTCTTAAAAGTTAAACTCCTCTTCCCCACTTGGTCATTGAAGTCATCATTGTCTTCCTTTCCCAGCCTACATTTAACCCATTTGCTAATCTTGCTGGTATACTTTAAAAATATATCGTGAGTTCAGACATGCCGCAGCTACAGTCTTCCCAGTGTAAGCCGTCATGGCATATCCCGGGCTCTTAATGTATCCTTGCTTCTACTCTCTTCTCACAGCAGAGTAATCTAAAAGTGAGTTTCCATCACACATAGGTGATAGTTCCGTGGTTTACCAGGCCTTTTGTGATCTGATGTAACTGCCATTCTGATGTCATCTTGTATCATTCTATACCCAAGGTCTTCCTGCTCCAGCCATGTTAGCCTCCAGGCTTCTTTTGAGCACTCTTAAGCCCATCTGAGTATCATTCCTTTGCCCTGAGGTGCTCGTCCCTTTGGTATCGTTTCATCCTTACTTCATTCACATGGACGAAGTATGGCTTCATTACAAAAATTGCATAGAACAACACATCCCAGACATTCTCTGTTCCCTTACCTTGCTTGGTTATACTTCCTAGCATTCATCACTACAAAGGTTGCTTACTGATGTGGGTAAGACCTGTATTTTATTCCCTTTTATCTATAGTGCCTCAAAAAGTCACTGTCACATGGTAGGTACGCAGTGAATATTGTTGAATAAATAAAATAATGGCTAGGACTTGGATTTACAACCTGTGTTTCCAGTTTCTGAATTCCTTTCTCAATTCTGTTTGATGCTATTTTAGGATAATTGGGTAATTCTTGTGTTTCCAGAGAGGAGAAAAAGATTATAGTAGTGAATTACTGTTTAAATGACAAAAAGTCAGTTGCCAACAAGAACTTTTTATAATTCTGGATTTCTCATTGTATCATAATGTATTTTATGATTATTATTTATCTTAGATCATAGTATAACCTTCGAATTTTGATCATTGTAAGTCTGTAAATATTTTTGAATCAACAGAATATACGTAATTAATGTCACTGTAAACATGCCAAAATGGCAGATGTTTGTATTTTTACTACAATTAACAAATAAAAGTTTGAGCTATTTTATCCAAAGTGACTTGTGGTGTACAGGGCAGAGCATATACTGGAATCTAGGAATTTTGGTGCTTACTCTGCTCTGTACCTACCGTGATTTGAAATACCACCCTCTCCCAGCCTCCCATATTTCCTGGCAGGTCCCAATAGTCAACAGAGTGGAGATTTCTACTCCTGCACATTTGCATCTTTAAATCTGTAGGTCAGGATGCAAGAAGAATGTGAAGGAGCTCTAGTAAAGTGTCTGTAATATGGAGACAGAACACAACTCAGAGAAATTTCCCTTTTTGCACTTAAGACCCTAAACTTATTGGTTAAGACCCACTTGCATGATAGAAGCAATTTGCTTCATTTATGTGCAACTTACTGAATCACATGCTTCTACTCCATAATAGCAATCATTCTAGTGTTTAACCAAATAACTGGGTGATGTAGCCCAGCCAGGTTGACATATGAAAGTCAACGTCATATCACTTACATAAACTGTTTTCTTATATGTTTATATCTCTTGTCTTAACCTGCTCTCAGAGTTGTTACTCTAAGTGCAGAAGCTGCCTGTTTGACATTCCCTCTTATAATTGGAGACACGTATCGCAAACCAGACTTCTATCTCCTACTACAAGACAAAATGCAAAACATCAAATTTAGCTCCACATTTGAGCTTTTCTCTCCTTTCTGTATCAACAGTTGACTTCATTGTCCACTGAGGCATGTCAATGAAGGAGTAGGCGTCATCACCCCCTCTTCCTCACTTTCCCCATACCAAGTATATTATTGTTTATTCTCTTAAGTTGTTTCAATGCCTTTTCTTCCTCAAAATGTTTTCTAGCTCTGCCTCTTGAGTAGTTTTTGAACTACTCTGTCTTGTTTCTTTGTGTGAACAGAAATTGCCTGTTGCCACTGAGACATTGTGGTATTGTATTTGTATTTCATTGAGGATTGCATGTTGGTGTGTTCGTAGGCACTCACTGCCTGTCTCCTGGTGGGTGTGAGTAGGGGACGGAAGTGTGTGCACTGTTTTCTGTTCATCATTCAGCTCAGTTGAGGATGAGTTTGACTAATATTGTTTGTTATTGATCAGGTGTATTGAACACCTGGTATTGGCTTTTGCTCAGTGGGTGGGGCTGCAGAGGATTGCTGTCCCTCACTGGGTGAGACAAGAAGAGACAAGACACACAAACACACATGAGAGAAAAACAAGCAAATAGCAGTGAAAAAGTAGTAATGGAAGGGAAAAATGAAACAGAGTGTCTTCCCTCCTTTTGCCTCACCTTTTCTGAGCTTTTCCTTTATGATTTGGAACAGTATATTTCTTCTGATTCTCTTTTTTAGTTAACTGCTATATACCTGCAAAATCCATGTGGCAACCATGTCTTACTTACTCTTGATTTCACAAGGGGGAAGGATAATCAAACTCAAAACCAGCCCAAGGCAGATTCCTGTGACATAGAGGTCAGACATACCTCAACCATACAACCTTCTTTATTCTATTCTGACACCAACAATCCCTCCCATTCTTTTTTACGTCTGAGATTGATAATTCATTGCAGTGGACATATGGAACTCTTACCTATACTCATGACTGTGGGGTTTATTGGGGAAGTGAACAGGGTCAGGATCAGAAACACCTCAGGATGCAGCAGTTTTACAGTGTACTGCAGGCATGCCTCACTCTTGTTTTCAGTCTCTCAGCCAGGTGGCCCTTGACCTCTACCCTGCTCGAGCAAGTGTTACAAAGCTCCTTTAGTCAGTCTGTAAATACACCAGGAGCTCTGGTAGCTTAGTGGTTACAAGTTGGGCTGCCAACCTCAAGATCAGCATTTCAAAACTACCGGCCATTCCATGGGTGAAGGATGAGGCTGTCTGCTCCCGTAAAGATTTACAACCTTGGAAACCCTGTTACAGGGTTGCTATGAGTCAGAACTGACGCCACGGCACATAACCACCAAATACCCAAAGGGCACATAAGCCAGCCTCCTGCCCATAGACATTCAGCTTTACTCGGTCTGTGGGCCTAGAAGTCCACAGCTGCCATGCCGCCACCTCTGCTGTCATGGCTCTTCTAGGTAGGGATCTCATGCTCTACTTTTCTGATGATCCTGGGATCATCTGTTCGTACTTCTAAGATGGCTCCTTTTAAACCTATTGGGATAGCTAATCTAACCAGTCCCAGCACTAGAGTACATGGTCCTACCTAATCATTAAGGAGCTCTGGTAGCGTAGTGGTTAGAACTGGGCTGTTAACCTCACGGTCAGCAGTTCGAACAATCAGCTGTTCCGCTGGAGAAAGATGTGGCTTTCTGTTCTCGTAAAGATTTACAGTCTCGGAAATCCTATACAGGGTTGCTTTGAGTTGAAACCAATGCCATGGCACATAACAACAACAACAACAACAGCCTAATCATTGAGTCCTGATGTGGTGCTGTGGGTTAATGTGCCAGGCTGCAAAGCTGTTTGAACTGCAAAGTCGGCAGTTCAAGCTTGCCAGCGGCTCCCTGGAAATCTTATACAGGGTCTCTGTGTGTCGGAACTGACTTGATGGCACAGAACAACAACAAACCTAATCATTTGGTAAGAATTAATACTACACTGAATAAAGAAGACTGTAGGAGAATTGACGCATTTGAGTTATGGTTGTGGTGAAGAATATTTAAAGTACCATGGACTGCCCCAAGAATCTGTTTTGAAAGAAGTGCAGCCATAGTAGTTCTTAGAAGCCAAAATAGCAAGACTTTGTCTCTCATACTTTGGGCATGTTATCGGGAAGGATCAGTCTCTGGAGATGGACATCATGCTTAGTAAACTGGAGGATCAGCGAACTAAGAGGAAGACCCCTAAGGCGACGAATTGGCATAATGGCAGCAGCAGTGGGCTCCAGTGTAACAATTATGAGAATGGCGCAGGACTGGGCAGTGTTTGGTTCTATTGTGCATAGGGTTGCTATGAGTCAAACTTGACTCCATGGTACCTAATAACAAGACTTAAGGATAGAAAAGCTGTATCAAGAAAATTCAAGGTACCATAACACCCTTCAGATATCAACCCAACTCCCTTTGTATAATACGCCTCCACTGACTTCCTAAGTTGTGTTCAGTTTTCTGTTGAACACTTCCAAGCAGCCCCTTCTCTGTTGTTTTGGAATTCATCATGAGGTGTCTTTGTATTTTGTGATTGTTTGGCGAATGTCTGTTTTCTGCATTGTCCTGTTAGTTCCCTGAATACAGGGGACTGTGTGTATTCTTGTGCCCCTTAGACAGTCTGGCCTGTGTGCTTTGTCCAAGTGACTCCTCCTTGAAGTGGTTCATTTAGCAGAAATCAAACATTTTTCCTCTTTGTATTCTAGTAATCTTGAATGCATATGTGAACACTTTATATCTGATGTGACTGGGTTCTTTTTTTGTCTCTACTTTTCCCATGAATTCTTACTTAGCAACTTGATTGGTTTTTGTTGTTAAGTGCTGTTGAGTTGTTTCTGCCTCATACTGACCCTGTATAGGATTTCCAAGGAGCAGCTGGTTAGTTTTGAATCACCAGCCTTGTGGTTAACATTCCAGTGCTAATCTTACAGTGCCAAATCAGGAATCCTAGAAACTGGATAGAACTGAGGAAAAATAAAGTAAATATAACACAAGGGTAGAACGGCCACATGAGGTTCATATCCAACCTCCGTAGAAGAGATTCCAGTAATTTGGATGCTGTTTGGTGGTTTGGTTAGCATTGCTCATAGAGGTGCTTTCTAGACTGCCTGAGAAAGTGTCTGTTAAATCATTTGTCTTCCAGACCCCTACTTGTGAAAATTCAACAGTACTTAAAAAAAAACTTGACCAAGGGGTCTGTT